TTAGGATTGATTGGTTGGATCTCCTTGCAGTCCAAGGGACACTGAAGAGTCTCCTCCAGCACCATAGTTTAAAAGCATCAGTTCTTTGGCACTCAGCCTTCTTTATGGTCCAACTCTCACATCCATACATGACTACTGGAAAAACCATAACTTTGACTATATGGACCTTTGTTGGTGAAGTGATGTCTCTGCTTTTTAATATGCTGTCTAGGTTTGTCATAGCTTTTCTTCCAAGGAGCAAATGTCTTTTAATTTCATGGCTACAGTCACCATCTGCAGTGATTGTGGAGCACAAGAAAGTAAAATCTGTCATTGCTTCCACTTTCCCCCCATCTATTTGCCATGAAGTGATTGGACCAAATGGCGTGATCTTAGTTTTTGAATGTTGAATTTTAAGCTGGCTTTTTCACTCTCCTCTTTCACCCACATCAAGAGGCTCTTTAGTTCCTCTTCATTTTCTACCATTAGAGTGGTATCATCTGCATATCTGAGGTTGTTGATATTCTCCCAGCAATCTTGATTCCAGCTTGTGATTCATCCAGCCTGGTATTTTGCTTGATGTATTTTGCATATAAGTTAAATAAGCAGGGTGATAATATATAGACTTGTTGTACTCCTTTCCCAATTTAGACCAGTCTCTTGTTCCATGTCCAGTAACTATTGCTTCTTGACTTGCATACAGGTTTCTCAGCAGACAGGTAAGGTGGTCTGGTATTCCCATATCTTTAAGAATTTTCCAGTTTGATGTGATCCACACAGTCAGTGGCTTTAGCGAAGTCAATTAAGCAGATGTTTTTCTGGAATTCCCTTGTTTTGTCTATGACCCAGAGAATGTTGGCAATTTGATCTCTGGTTCCTCTGGCTTTTCTAAATCCAGCTTGTACACCTGGAAGTTCTCAGTTCATGTACTGTTGAAGCACAGCTTAAAGGATTTTGAGCATTACCTTGCTAGCATGTGAAATGAGCAGAATTGTATGGTAGTTTGAACATTCTTTGGCATTGGAATGAAAACTGACCTTCTTGAGTCCTGTGGCCACTGGTGGGTTTTCCAAATTTGCTGGCATGTTGAGTGCAACACTTTAACAGCATCATTTTTATGATTTAAAATAGCTCAGCTACTGGAAAACTGAAAAATATTTTTAATTACTGACTTCAAATCTGTTAGTTTCCTTTTTTGAATAGATTTATGAATTGCCTTCAGAAGGCACCCCACTTTCTATAACATTGCCCTCTTAGATGCTGTTAGAGGTATATTTTTATATATCCTCAACTTTTCCTGTTCTCTCTTTGGACACCAGTGCTTTTCCCAACATTTTACCTTCATTTCCTTCTTTCTGTTCACTGCAGACACATATTCACCCTTCCATTTGGGTGGAAGAATATGGAGATTTCAAGATTAATCTAACAATGAGTTAAGTCCAGGCTCACTTTAATTTATATGCAGAATGGAAACATCTTTTCATTTGATACACCTCTCCCATCTTTGTTAAAATGTGATGCTCTTAGTAGCATGTATAGTAAAGGGCCAGAATATGAAGATGTCCATATTTTTAAGTCAGCAGTAGATGGGCATTTTACTTCATTCACGAGATTGTTTTTTCCATTTTCTTATTCTGAATCATACAGTAGAAAGAAGGACTGGAAAAAAAGATCTGAGGTGTTAAAAAAAATAGTGACTTCAAATAGTAAAAGTGAATTGATTGCTTTTAAATGTGTCACATAACAGCCCTCATTCTTCCCAGCACAGAAACCATTAGAGAAGATATTGCCAGTTTATATGCTATTTTGGCTGTTTTCATTTTAAGCAATTGGAAAGTCATAAATGAGGAGAAGAGAACAGTTCGGTTTGGCCTGATTTATTTTAAGAGGGTCCGTGACTGTGACATCATCCTGATGTCCAAGGCATAAAGTGATACTCAGTTTTCATGAGTAAATGAATTTGTTTGTTTTAAAGGGGGTTGGCTTTGTTTTGGAGTTATGATTCACTAAGGACCGGAAGCAACTCAGTTAGGTTCTGAGAAGTCGTCAACATCCATTTTAGCACCAAGACTAGAAACATATGAGAAGTAACTTTGGAGAAGTAAATTATTCCTACTATATTGGTAAGGTATTTCATCAATGATTTATTGAATTGTATTCTTATATTTTAAAACACAAACATTTGTAAACATCTAAGAATAATATTTGCAAGAAACTGGAAAAAAATGTCAGGACACAATTTCATATCCATGGTCTGCAATAATGATTTTAGTTCAGTTTTGTCCCCATATCGCATGCCAACAAAGACTGATTTATAAAGCATGTTCCTCAGTCCAGAACCAGATAATACTGAAGATAATTGCTATGCCTGGTTAGAGTTTAAGAGCAATTTCCTGAGACACCACTTGTAAAAGTGAAAGAACATACATTGGAATGAGTGCTGGTCATCTATACAGTAAAAGAAAATAAGGAATTGTTGCATGCAGTCTGCTTTCCAATATTAGTTTAAATAATAACTGCATTATACCTGATGATCCCACAGAACCTTTAATAGTGTGAATTTACTGTGTGGAGTCACAATGTCTTTTTAAACTTTCTAGGCACATAGAAAAATCACATCAATCACAGTCCAATTTCAAACAATTTATTTACATATATGATCAGTACTTTATCATCTAAAAGTGGACGTTATTATTAAAATATAAAGCAAGATTTGGATTTCTTCTGGAAATCAAATGGCATTTTTTAAAAAATAAAAGAACCATTAGTATATTAACAAACATGTTATTAAATACAGGGTATTTTAAAATAACCCTGAGAACTGCAATATTATTTTCTATTTTCAAAAACCACTACAATATTGTAAAGTAATTAGCCTCCAACTAATAAAAATAAATGAAAAAAAAAACAAAAAAAAGTGAAAAAAAAGAAACCCATTAAATTTTAAAGAAAAATTAAGTTTGAAGATTTAATATATAATTCAATTTTAGAATTGACTCATACATTTGATAAGGAATATCTGAACCTAAGAAAATTTTTAGCTTGAGCTAAACCAGTGATAGTGATGTTTAATCTCACCTAAGAAAACTATTGTTAATTTGTGTTCACATTCTTTACACTATGCAAACTTATCCCTGTCTTTAAACTGATGAGATTTGCTTCTTATGAAACTGGCCAAGACCGAAAGAGGGACTGAGAAAACCTTTGGCAAATTAAAAAACTAATTTAGGCCATTGTTTGGGTTGAAAAAAAATCCATTTCTTCTCCATTTATCTTTGACTGACTTACTTTGCATAAATTATCACCTTCAGTTATCAATCCACAGCTAGGAAAAAGTGAAAAACCATTTTAAAGATAAATCTAGATTTTAAAAGAAATAAGATATTTGACACAGAGGAAATCTTGTCCTAGTAGGTGTGTTTTCCTAGCTTAAAGAAATGAAAATGCAGAGAGCTTTTTTCTTATCTAAATCTTTATTAGAAGAAAAAAACATTTAAAACAATGAGTAACAACATATCTCAGTAAGTATTAAACACTTCAGTTATCAAAGCTATTTAGACAATAGGTCCCTAATATTTCTGCACAGCAGAAGCACACTGATTACAGAGCTCAGACTGTCATGTGCTCATGTGAGTTTGCTTTTGGCATAAAAGAATATCCAAAGTCACAGTTAAATATGATAGTAGATAAACTGCTAGTAACTTACACAGTTGATTCTCAAAGCTTTCACAACTTATCACTGTGTGATTGACATTCCCTTAGGGTAACTGTTTTATGGACTCTTTCTGTAACACTGAGGAACAAACCAAACTCATTTTCTTTCAAGTTAGCATTACTAATAAAATTATTTAAAACTGAATTAGAAATTATGTTCCTGTTCATATTAACACAATAAAAAGTAAGTATCATAAATAAACTGATTAGTTCGTACCAAAAGTTAGAGAATGGAAATAACATACTTAGTACACTCATGGACAATAAATCATTTAAAATGGAACTATTCAGTACATGATATCTGTGAGCACCCTTTCTAGGGGGTAAAGTTTCCCTTTGTGATTTCTTAAAGTTTCCCTTTCCGATCTGTGTAAAACACTGATAAATGTAGTCTTATACCTATTTCATTTTCAAAGATCTATCATAGAAAAGATTACATTTTAAATTCATTTTTAGTAAAAACAAACAAACAAACCCAACAAGTGTCCTTTCAGGTTTTTTTCTTGTGTGTAGTACACATTCATGAGCGTCCACTAGGCGCAAGGGAAATTGTTTTTGCTGCAAAATGTAGTCTATACAGTGAGACTATCAAACATAGTGAAATGACAAATGGTTTCCAACCAGTAAGCTAAGAGGAAAACAAATGCAAGAAGACTTGTTTTAATCACTAAACATTGCAGGATTTTTTTGTTAAACAATGTTTGTAAACTTGCCCACAAAAGCTGGGTGATATTAAACAGCCAGTAAGGCACTTTGTCAGAGAGGATGAAGTAGTAAAGGCTGGATGACTGACAGTTTGTTTAATAGGAAACAGTCTATACTTAGAGCAAAATCTGGAGTGGAGTGCTCCTTTTACCGATTTACTGTCAAATGGGAGTGGGGAAAACTTTAAAATCTTCTCTTTCACTTTGCTTACCAATTTTCCCTGCAGAAGTCTTTTAGTTGTAATTTTAAAAATATATTAGGAGCTATTAGTTTAAATAATGTATCATTTTCAATCTAATATTTAAAACAATATTAACATATTCACTAGTATTTTCAAAACATCCAAGCCATTCTCTTTAAAAAATGAATTACCAAACAGAAGATCTTAGTATAAAAAATGTTCCGTGTTATTAACAATTCCCTTGCAACTTCTGATGGCTTCACATATTACAGTATAAGCTTTGGTATAAAACATGCAAATCAAAGCCAACAAGGTCGTGAATACAGGGTTCCGTACACAGAGCACTTATGAGAGGAGCGCAGCGCAGACCCAGGAGATGAGGCAAGGTGACGCCGCTGCAGGATGACCCGAGTTTGCACTTCTACTGCTTCTCGGTTTCTACATTTCGCTTGTTCATAATCTTCATCAGAGACTGACTCATGTAATAGGGTCTTTCAGCAGAACCATCGTTTCTCTCTAAATCTTCCACTAGGAGGAAGAACGGTACAGGGTAAATATCAAAGCGTAGCTGTAAGAGAAGTGACATCGCCATCTGCTGTGTATTTGCTTTACCGCAGTTCAAAATGTTATTTTAAAAAAACAGCATAGTCTGGCACCAATGTTACTGTAAACATAACTATGAAAAACAACCAGCCCTTGTTATTATGTCAGTAAGAACTATCTCATTCTGTGTACCAGGTCTGATTCTGCCAATAGCACCTGCCTCTCAGCTGCACGATTGAGGAAACAAGTTTTCCCTTCTTTTAGAAAGTAAACGTAATTATACAAAAATCAGGAGATCTATGAGGAATTCCTAAATTCACCTTCACATTCCTAAAAAGTATTATGTATTGAATTTGCCTTCTAGCTTACTGTATTAATTCAAAATTGCTTTTGTGTTTCAAGCAACAATTTAAGCAGTCTCGTTTTATAAATAGATTTGTAAATTTCCAGTACATTTCAAATCCTTGAACTGCAAATTTTGAGACGTATTGCTCCGTTTTCTCCATTTTTTCACTGTTATTTAATTTCTAAGTGGCTTCCAAATTTTTCTCAAAAACAACACCCTTTTTCCTCTAAATATTTCAATTACACAGAGGTAATTAATGAAAAATATTTTTCTAACTAGATTAAGCACATAATATGGGTTAAAACTTCTCTACTCAGAGCTTTCTAATTATTAAAAAATTATTAAGAAATATTGAACCAAACAACATTCCTTTTCCTATGATTTTGCACCCAAGGGTTATATTCTTATAGTCAAATTTAGAATGTATCTCCATACTGTTCAATGAATACTTTCACTGTGGCGAGTCTTCTGGTTTAATCAGCAGTTTTAATGTTAAGCATTTAATACTTGGGTCCCATCTAGTACCAAGAATCTAAAAATAGAAGTTATGATTACTAGCAATCTCCAAATGAATCTCCTTTGTCTTTCATAATTTTCTAATTCCTAGAACAGCCAAGAATATAAGAAGAAAATAAGCAACTGATTTCCCACACATTAATTTATATTTTATTTAAGTGATTTCCCAACTTTTATGTGCATCAGAATCACTAGAGAACTTTTTAATAATTCACAAGCTGCCCCATACCAAAATACTTACAGCAGAGTCTCTGGGGGTGGGGAACACACATAGCAATATATATAACAAATTCTCAGAGTGATTCTGATACATACACAGAAAATTAAAAATTGTTTTGTTTCATCATTATGAATTTTTCAACTACTCCTAAAAGGGGACTTGTTCCTTATAATTTTCAACACTCAAGATAGAGGTAACTATTTGACTAGATTTTTGTTGTGAACCTTGTATTATTTCTTTTTAATTTTTTTTTTAATTTTTAATTTTAAATTGGAGTATAGCTAATTAACAAAGTTGTGATTGTTTCAGGCACACAGATGAGGGACTCAGCCACACATATACATGTATCCATTCTCCCCAAAATCCCCTCTCATCCAGGTATATTATTGAATAAAATAATAATAACTATCTAGAAATACAGGTTATCACTCTTCTCTGAATTATACTTCAAGGAGCATGAGAGTGAAGAAGGCTTTTGCCAAGGTATGAAGCCAAATGATACTTTTGATTACAATCGTCTCAAAAAAGTAAGCTAAGAATAAGATGGGGGCCATATAAGGACTCATATTTTGAAACTCTCCCCTATTTATTGGCTTCTTGCTATTAAGCTGGTAGGAAGTCAGTGACCCCACTCTTCAGGGTCATTAAGTAAATTACTAGTCATGTTAAGTTATAACACAATAATACATTTCTGACTGTCTTCTTGGATACATGGATTATATCCAGATCATGCTCCTTTTTGTCAAGACATAAATAATCCTTATATACAAACTTAGTGTAAAAGCCAAAGGACACTGTTGACCCAGTACCCCTTTGGGGTCCATTTTCACACTGTTCGCCACATCTTATGCTCTTGTTCACAGGAGATGGATAGACAAGGTATGTGGGTGTCTGATTCATGCTTTGCTCTGCCATGCAGAAGACTAAGGCATGGCTGCCAGAGCCTGGTTTGTTGGTCTGGTCAGCAGAGGTGGAAGAATAACTTCCCTCCTGAACCCTTCAGGAAGAGCTCTCCTAATCCACAGTATGCCCCTTGTAAAGGTACCAGCTGAGGTACCTATGGAGGGCTAATGTTTCCTTAGGGTAAAATCTGAAGTCTTACTTATCTTTTCTCTTTTTTCACTGAAAGTTAAGCTAAAATTAAACCTTTTATAGAACAAACCCACATGATCTCTTTAATCTAGAAAAACAGGCATGCTCATAAAAGATTTAATCACTCTTCTGAAACACATCCATACCCATTGCCTATATGGTAGGCATAAAGATTCATCTCTATTTGGGTTACAGACAAGGGTACGAGTTATGTGGCCATCTCAGTTCTGCTCAGAATATTTTCACGGTGGCCTCATGTTCATATGATTAAAAATGATATTCCAGAACTCAGATTCAACTTTAATTTCATGACAACAAAATGGCCTATGAAGCTTCCACGGTGATTTTTACCTAGTAATGCTCTCTGTGGAACCTGTATAACCTTACCGTCTATATATTCATTATGGTCTTGAATCACTTACTGAAATATACTTCCCAGGGAACCATTAATATAAGTTTAATCACAGTTTAGGATGTTGTCCACTTGCTTGAACAGTATAAATGTAACCATAGCACCACATTTACAAATTTAGTACCATATGCTGGTTAACTACAAATCAACCTGTTTATGGCTAATTGATTATACATTTATAGTGCTTTCAAAAATTTCCTGAATATCTTTTACAAATATACATTTGTAAAAAGAAAGTTCATCAAAGTGCTGCAATGGAAAACAGCATGCCAGGTTATAAAAGTTTGGAAACACTTTCAGCTATAGACTTTAAGAAAACATGTGACATTTACACCTTGCTCTTCAGTTGGAACCACAGTCTATAAAGTATCCTAGTTCACAGGGGCTACTGTCATCAACTGCCTGATACCTCAGATGGTACCAGGTTCTTGCTTTTCAGGAATAGGTACTGAAATTTCATATTACTTAAAAGCATCACTTTCCAATACAAATGACCTAATTTACAAAACTTCTACTTAAAAGTGAATGGCACTGTTTGGAGCTTTTCTACTTTTTCTGCTTCTGGGGAACTAGTTGCTTCTTGTTCAGAATTCCGTGCAGGGTAGGGGTTATGAAGTAGGGTTTTTCTGTTGATCCATCATTTCTTTCCAGATCTTCACCTGTATATGCAGCAGCCAAAGCAGGCAAAAGCAGCAAGCAGTGGCAGAATAATTATATGCATTTTAGAATTTGGAGAGTTGAACAGGGATAAAACAGAGAAAGCAGTGTTAGAAAGTCAAATATACGACAAATTAGTGCAGTTAAATAGCCAATGCTAGTCAAAGTTAGAAGCTTCAACTTCTGCCAGGAAGCACTAAAACTTTGTAAATCCCACCCACTCCCAAAGAGGTTTATTTTGATAGTTTAAAGGTTAAAAGATCTTTTACGTCCTTTCAAAGGTGTTACCTTTAAATTCCGCTACTGTTCAGTTCATAAAGGTAAACTGCCCTATCCTCTGAGATGAAGCTGAATAAAAAGTGTGGCACAATACATGTAAAGAATAACTGAATTTCAGAGTTCAAAGTTGCTCTTAATGGTAATTCACACCCTAACATTACAGATGAAGAAACTGAGACCCAGGGATGTGAAATGATTCTCCTAAAGTTGAAAGCTCTGGGGCAATCTGGATGAGGTGAGGACCCAGTTTCTAGATACCTACTTCAGATCTCATGCTGCTAACTAAAAGGTGCCCTGTCCTAAATCCTTGCAGTTTGCCTCAGATTACATTCAAAAGTTAATGCCATGTCTTCTGACTTTTGTAATACATGAGTTTATATTCCTTTGCTTATATTCTTTTGCTATATAGCTTTGCTTAGGCTAATAGTGAGATGATGGGTATTCACTGAGCACACATCTACTGGTTGGTTGGGGGAAAGGATCAGAATGATGCTGAGAAGCAAGGAGAAGTTTACATAGAATTAAATTTCTTGAAGATACATATAACTCACAACTGATAATATCTCAACAAATATATAAATGCAACTTGATTCTGTTTTTACTAGTATATTAAAATATTATATTATTTTTAGTCTTTATTATGAAATAAAGGATAAGAAATATTGTATAAAACCATATAGCATAATCACTTAGAATATATCTAAATTATTTTTCACCATACTCTCTTAGGAATGGTTGGATTATTAGTTTATCAGATTTTTACAGTGGATTTCACAGTGACTTTCCTCAGCTACAAAATGAAAAGCTAAGGAGGAAACATCATGGATGCTGAACATTTTTGTTCTTTTTTCCTTAATCATATTTCTATATCAATATTATATGTTTATATCATTATTACTTTTGAGGAATGGGTAGGAACTACAATATCAATCACATAATAATGATGATAATCATCTACAAGTATTGTTTTCGCCTATCTTGGGATCAGAATTCTCATTTCTTTGTAATGTTGAAAGGATGCTATGTTTCTATAGAGTAGAGTATTTGCAAGTGGTTCACATTTTTAAACATACCAGTTTTCTGGCAGTCAAGATAATAGGTATAAAGAGGTATGCAGAAACAACAACAACAACAACAACAAAAGGTACAGTTCCACACAATCAGAATTTGGTTTGGAATATCATTTAAGGAGAATATTTTCCAAAGTTAGATGTTGCCCAAAGTAACAGCTGAAGAGGGAAGAGAAACACAGTTTAGTTTCTCTTGTTCTTTATTATCAATGACAAGAATAAAAAAAAAAAAGCTCACATTCAACACACAATGTTTTGAACAAGGCTGAAATTATACCTGATTTTTTAAGAACTTGGCAATATAGATGAGTGGAATATAGTAATATAGATGAGTGCAAAACATTTCTTCATTCTCAAATTTAGAATCCACTGTCAAAATTAAAATCCACAAGACTTGCCAAAGCTTCCAAAGACTGGAAACTGGTAGGTTCTAGACATTTCCTGGGATACCTTTTGAGAAAACTTCGCAGTTACAAAAATGGGGAAGATCCCAGTGGGCTCTCCCAGTTTGGCTCCCATAATTAGCATTTGAGATGAAAGATCTCTGAACATTTGAAAGGCCTGTCTCTTCTTTGTCTTAAACTACCTTATTCCTGTGTTCCTTCTTCCATTTCATACCTGAGCTGAAGTTTGTTCATGTGATATTTTGTAGATGGCTTTTCCTGACAAGCCACTGAGGTGCTAGGAAAAGATTAAACATTCCAGTTCCATTTAGAGACAAAGGAAGCGCTCACTTGTGCACAAAGTTCTCCTGATTTCTTTGTCCAGTTATTGAAAATCGATTTGTAAATGTTCGGAAAGGAAAAAGAGATCCAACCATTTTCTAGAAGATTTTTTCCTTCACTATAACTCCCTATGAAATATATATACGTATATGTGTGTATGTATATATATACATGTTTGTGTGCTTAGTCACTCAGTTGTGTCCGACTCCTTATGACCCTATGGACAGTAGGCTTCTACTGTCCATATACAGTAGTATACACACACATATACATTATCTCCTCTCCTGACCCCAGCATGCAATTGGTGCTGTGAGTTATACAAAAAAATCCACTAAACTGTTCATTTTATACAGGTGGATCACTCAGTAATACCCTGTAATAGAATGTTTTCTCTGCTTCTCTTAAGAGCAATGTGCCAGAGAAATAATCTCTCAGAGGGTATTAGCTGTAGGGCTAACAAGCTCTGTTCTTTCATCTGTTGACCTTACTTTATCTAGGCTGAAGGTGACAGCAGATCAAGCTCCTGATGGGCACTAGATTCCCCAGGACTTTTAAGATGAGGTACTAATAGAAAACATACCCGTTCTGTGTATGTGAGTAGCACATGCTCCATAGAGGCACAGTGCAGAAGTCAGTGATGAAAGCCCTAATGAAATATTTTAACTATAAGCATCAGAGTTCATCTAAACATTTCCAAGACACGCCTCTCTATTAATCCTATCTATCTGTCATTGTGTTACCTAGTGTGAATTGGCTCTATGTATCTTTGAAATCGTTGCCAGCTTGGCTTTATCAGAAACTATAATGGCTCTCCTCAAGAGTCCCCAAAGCCCAGCCTCAAAGCCCAGTTAAGTCTTCAGTTGTTAATGAAACATAACAGAAGCCAATCATGACTATAAATTTGAAAACATTTTCAGAAATTAAAAAACAATTTCATGCTAACACCATGCCATGATGCCTGACTCTCCTGTGCTTTGCAAATACCATCTCTCAACTCTTAAGTTTTAAAAAGAATCTACTAGACAATGTCTCTTTCCAAATAAACACTGTTTTGCAGTTGCAGCCAGGTCATAGCAAATCCACAGCCATCTAAAGACATGGGTGTAAACCTTTTCATCTTACGGTTATCCACTGAAGAGGGAAAGCACATATACTGAAAACTTACAGAAGCAGATGAAAATTGTTTCAATACACATTGCATAGACGCTGAAGAATCCATGTGCAATTATGTAAGATCCAACAATCACTGTCTGTAAATGGGTAGAGAAGAGAATGAAGATGTCGTAAATTTGTCCAAAAGAACAATAATGCAGTTTTAAATGAAATCATGATAAGGAAGCTTTGAAGTACTCTTTGATGGAAAAGATTTCAATATAGAAATGTAAAAGATTCAATGATAATGTTTTTGAGTGTATTTGAACTGAGATTTAAACAAAATGTACTAGATTATCTGCCAATTTTCTTTTCACTATCCCTAATGCCTACCAAAAGCATCCCAGATCTAGGATCCTGCATACTGAGGCAGTAAAGCACAGTTTTTTGTTTTGTTTCATATTTTCATGGAATAATCCTATTCTTTTAAAAATATTCATTTATTTTTGGCTGTGCTATGTCCTCATTGCTGCCTGCGGGCTTTCTCTAGTTATGGCAAGTGGGGGCTGCTCTCTAGCTGTAGTGGGGCTTCTCACTGGGGTAGGTTCTTGTCTTGCAGGGTACAGGCTTTAGGTGCACGAGCTTCCATAGTTGTGGCTCACCGGCTTGGCTGCCCCGTGGCATGTGGAATCTTTCCAGATCAGGGATTGAACCTGTGTCTCCCGCATTGCCAGGTAGATTTTTTTTTACCACTGAGCCACCAGGGATGCCCAGCAGGTAGACTCTTAACTACTGGACCACCGGGGAAGTCCAGAGCATAGGCATTAAGAGCACACGCTGCCTAGGTTTAATCACAGCTCAGGCACTCACTCAAGTCACTTATCTCTCTGTGCTTCCTATGGAAGATGGTTGGTGGGGAAGCAGAGAATGCAACAATGGTGTTTATGACAAACGGATTGAGTGAGTTATTAATAATATACTGTAAAAGATCCCACAGGGTTCCCTCCAGGTCCTCTCCTGTTGCCACATCTATCCCCCAGTTGTTGGGAATGTAGGCAGGCAGCTGATGACGCAGCCGTCTTGCTCCACAGGACTTGCTTTCACAGGGAACTGCTGCACTCAAGGTTACACCATCATTCAGAGGGCAACCCTTGGCCAATGGCTGCCTGATGCAGTATATAGAGACCTAGCCCCTGTGTCAGAAATTCCTATATTTATGTCTGAAGCTTCAACTGTAATGGCAGCACGGATCAGCTTCTTTTTTTGCTCAGCCCTGTCCTCCTCTCTTCCTTTCCGGTGTATCTCCAGAGAGCACTTCATAATAAGCCCTCTGCTTGCAATGCTCTATCTCAGGGGTTGCTTCAAAGGAACCCAAGCTCCACAGCAGAATGAGGCTGGGCACAAAGTAAGACTAATCATGTTAGCTATCATTATTTCTCCTATTCCTTTTTGTTTTTTTTATTTTGCCATCTCTCATAAATCAGAGTTAATATTACCCAGCAGCTATGGAATGAACTGTGTCCCCTTAAAATTCCTACATGGAAACCTAATCCCCAGTGTGATGGCAGCTGGGGGTGGGGCCTTTGGGAGGCAATGAGGAAAGAAGGATGGAGACCTTGTGAATGGTTAGTGCCCTTATAAGATAAGATGAGAGAAGATCTCTTTCTACTCTGTTAGAATACAGCAAGAAGGTATGCCTTTGCAAATTAGGAAGGAAGCTCTGACTAGGGACTGAATCTGGACTTCTCAGCTTTCAAAACTGTGATGAATAAACCCTTGTTGTTTAAGCTACCCAGTCTATGGTATTTTTATTGTAGCAGCCCAAACTTACTATCAGCTCTTACCAGCAAAGGTACCCAGTAGTAATTTAAAGATGTTGGTCCTTCTATAATCACTGGGAGTCTTTCGGTGAAAAGTAAAAAGGCCAGGACACCTGGAGCAAAGGAATATAGCTTTTTGTCATAACGAAGTTTTTCTAAGCACCTGTTAAATTTTTTCAAAACTTCATTGTTGTTGTTATTGTTATTATTACTATGACTACTTACCTATACACCCAGCAACTAGAATCTTCCCCAGGATTAGTACAAAGTCTGTCACTCTATCCATAACTGCAATTCTGAGAATCAGGAAAAAAAGTATAATTTTGCGTTTAACTTAGATTTATTACTAGAAATTTATGAAAGTAAATAATCCATGAATTCATTTTGATGTGTCTTTGCTGAAATCTTACTTAGCATTTATTAAATGCAAGAAATGAAGGAACCCAGGCATGAAATTCTGACTTATTTATAAGGAACTACACAGAAAATGGCATTATAGGGATGTCAGGTGGTGTCAGCCTCTCTCACTAATTTGAGGACTATAGACACCCTGCACCCTGAGGATGGCTGTGTTGGTTCTCTGATTTTGTTCACTCAGACTCTGTCAATTTTGGGAGGAAGGAAAAGTCGGAAACATGATGATAATATTTGTGTGGGGGAATTTCTTGAGCATAGGGTATAATAAAGATGAGTAAGTGCCAGTGGGTATAAAGGTGTAGATGGATGATGGGAGCAACAATTCAAAGACATACAAAAAAATTAAAGGTGTGAAGGAGAAGATTTAAATCTTTTAAAATAAAAGAGAAGATTCATGTCTAATAAAACCACCAACATGTGAAGTATGAATGCTCAAGATTCACCAAACCATCCACTGCAGTGCTCAACCTGCTTACTTACTTTAAAATATTTCTCATCAGCAGATTGAAAGCATCTCTTGCTGACTTGCAGAAGTTTTTGCCGTATATTGCCATCTGAAGAAGACAGTTGATATTATTCTGATAACTTAACAAGGCCAACAGACAATCCAATGACAGGAACATTAATTAATTCTCTGTCACCCATTCAGTTACTCTCATTCATCTTTCCAACCTTTGGGCTCATGGGAGGCTTGGGAACCATGTATCCTCAACTCTGCACAACTCTCAGAGTCATTGGCAATCAGGTAAATTTCAGTTGCTATTTTCACTTAATTCCATGGGAAATACACAACTTTAAACAGAGGTAGGTCTTCTCAAATCCCTGGTCACAGCTTGTCTTTGAAGGGTTTTGGCTATGTGCTGCTGAATAGGTTAAATGTTGTAGCATTCACATTAAAAATTACTCTCAGGAAACCCTGTGCCTTCCAATACACACTTGCTTTATTGATTAAGAGGCTCAATAAAATATTCTCACTGGAGGTATATAAATGACTCTTTGAATATCCATAACTATTTGAATCACACCATCAGACCCTATATCACTGTGATAATCAAGTGTTAATAAGGTTGTAGTTGCTAAATTTTAGAACAATATTTTTGGATCCTCTATTTAAAAAAAAATCTCTTTAGAAGCCTCCACATTCCTATTGGAAATAAGTAACAAATTCAGTTATATTATCAATTCCCACACATTTCAAAATAAGAATCATAAAAAGAAACAGATCCTTCCTTAAAAGTGTGTAAATTTCAGAATTAGAAGAATATTTTCTTTTCATCATGAAATCTAGACTAATTAAGCTTCCCTCTCATGAAAGTATGTCAAAGACAAATAATGTTATTTTCAATCTAGCACATTTTTATATTTCTAAGGGAAATAATGGGCTTCCCAGGTAGTGCAGAGGTAAAGAATCTGCCTGCCAATGCAGGAAATATAGGTTTGATCTATGGGTCAGGAAGATCCCCTGGAAGAGGAAATGGCAACTCACTCCAGTATTCTTGACTGGAGGATTCCATGGACAGAGGAGCCTGGCGGGCTACAGTCCATGGGGTTGCAAAGAGTCAGCCACAACTGAGGGTTCACACACACAAGGGAAATAATATTTTCCCTCTTCATAAAGGTATTGAAGGTAATAATGAAGTACAGTTAAGTTACTATCTCAGCTAGGAAAGCATAGTCCTGAATCATGCATTGGATTCACAAATTCTTGTGTCAACATGGTAATAAATTCAACTGTTTGATGTACAAGTGCTTTTGAGACGGAAATGTAGACATGGGGTTCGGGTTTGCAAAGAAGTTTAGTAAATAAAAATAATCTACTTACCATAACATAGGCATTTCTGTTCAAAAACTTTACTGCCTTTTCCAAACACCAGAAACAGCATCTCAGGCAGCATTTTAGGAATTTAGAAATGTTGCTCTGGGCCTCTATGAGAAGGAGATATTTAAACTTATTAATGATTTGTAGACTCTATGAATAAAAATAAATAATACCAAAATTTTAAACGGGCTTTTTGATTTAACTGTAGTAAAATATATATAAAATTTGCCATTTTAACCATTTTTAAGTGTACAACACAGTAGCATTAAGTACATTCACAGTACTGTGAAACTGCCATCACTATCAATTTCCAGAACTTTTCATTATCTCATAGAAACTCTGTACCCATGAAAACAATAACTCCTCATTCTCCCCTCCTCCATGTCCCTGGTAACCTCTATCCTGCTCCTGTCTGTATGAATTTGCCTTTTCTGGATACCTTATATAAGCAGAATCTTACAATATTTGACCTTTTGTCTCTTACTTATTTCACTTAACATTAAGTTATGAGGATCCATTTATTACATTTATTTTTAGAGCTGAATAATATTCTATTGTACGTATGTATGTGTGTGTATATATATATATACACACACAAACAATTTTGTTTTTTCTTTTATCTGTTATTGGAAATTTGGGTTGTTTCTATCTTTTGGCTATTGTGAATAATGCTGCTATGAATATTGGTGCCCAAGTATTTATTTGAGTCCCTGCTTTCAAACTTTTTGAGTATATATCTAGAAGTGGAAATGCTGGATCATATGGCAGCTGTATTTTTAACTTTTTAAAGAATCACCATACTGTTTTCCACAGTGGCAATATGATTTTACTTTCCTACCAGAAATACACAGGTGTTCCAGTTTATCCTCAACCTACAAACATATTATTTTTCATTTTTTGATAGTAGCCATTCTGTTGGGTATGAAGTGGTAGCTCATTATGTTTTTGATTTCCATTTCCACAATGACTAATATTGAGCATCCTTTCATATATTTATTTACCACTTATATACTTTCTTCAGAGAGATATTTATGCAAATCATTTGCAGGAGGGACAAAGATGGTAACAAGGAGGCTCCTGAACTTCCCTCTTCCCACAGATGCACCAAATGTTTAGCAACACTTGGAGCAATTTCCTCTGAGAGAAATCCAGAAACAAGCTGAGTAACTCCTTCACATCAGGCAACTAAAAAAATCTAACAGTGAAAGTGTAGGAAAAGCTGAGACACACTCACCGTAAACCCTACCCCTGGCATAATGCCATACCACCAGGACAGTACCCACAACTCTCAGCTTCTCCCTGAGGAGTAAAGGGTTTGAGCAGCATATCAAGGATTCCAACTTTCAAGATTCCCACTCAAGAGACGACCTCCAAAACATTTAGCTCTGAAGCCAAAGGGGCTTATGCCCACAAGTTCTATGGGACTATAAACAACAACTATAAGCAATCACAGAGACTAGCAAAGAGCAAGCAAAAATGCCCATCTTCCAGTCTTTTCCTGGGAAGGGACTGAGTGCATACTTTACAGCACCCTGCCTAAAAGTTGAATTTCTAATTTGCACACTCTAGATCTACCTGTGGTCCTACAAGGAGCTAGGGGGAGCAGGTCACCAACTTCTCTTTGGAAGGAGCTTGTACACATGCCTGGTGACCCAGCTTTGTGTAGCTGTAGTTAGGGCTTGCACTTATGAGTCTCACAGGACTGTAGAAAACAAAGAATCAGTTTTTAAATGGTTAAGGAGTGCCATACCACCACTAACCACTAACCACTACTAACCACTATATATCCTGGCTGAGTGCTGAGGAAGCCGGCAAAAACTTCCCTCCTAGTTTCTCCCTGAAAGGAGCTTAACATACTTTTCAGCTGATGTCTAAGGGTTTAGCTTCTAATCAGCCTTGTCTAGGTTCTGACTCTGACCCTTCCCTTTGGGACACTGACAGGTCTAGTTACACTTTCAACTACTAAGAGCTACTTAACTATGATGGTTAGGACAATCAGGAAGATTTGAGAGAATAAGAAGCTTGGGCTGGGCTGATTAATGAAGCTCATCTCCTATATGAGCCTAGTCTGTCAAATTGGGAAAGATGGCTGCTTTATCTAATGCACATAAACAAATACAGAGAGTCAAGGAAAAAAATAAAGGAACAAAGGAATATGTTCCAAATAAACAAACAAGATATATTTCCAAAACTGGCATTTATGAAACAGAGGTCATTGACTTACCTAATACAGAATTCAAAATAATGGTCGTAAAGATGCTTCCCATGGTCAGGGAGCAATGCATGAAGAAAATGAGAATTTCAATAAAGAGACAGAAAATTTCTAAAATTCAAAACAGAATTTATAGAGCTCAAAATTACAATAATTGGACTGAAAAATTAAACGAAGGAATTCAACAGCAGACTAGATCTAGTGAAAGAAAGGAGCAATGAATTCAAAGACAACGCAATGGGGTTTATCCAGTTAGAGAAAGCATGAAGTTATGAGACTAATGTGACACCATCAAGCAGACCATTATATATATTACAGAGGTCCCAGAGGAAGAAGAGAGAACAAAAAGGGGCAGAAAACATATACAAAGAAATAATGACTGAAAATTTCCCTAGCCTGGACAAAGAGACATCCAGATTCAGAAAGTTCAAAGAATACCAATCTAAAGAGATTCACATTGAATCACACAGAGTTAATTTTCAAAAGTCAGGTAAAGGCAGCAGAAAAGAAGGAACTTCTTGTATACAAGGAAATCCCCATAAGAATATAAGCATATTTTTCAGCAGAAACTTTGCAGGCCAGAATGAAGTAGAATATATTAAAAGTGTTGAAAGGAAATTCTGCCAACCAAGAGACAATCTATGTGGCAAAGTTATCCTTCAATATTGAAGGAGAGGTAAGAGTTTTCCAGACAAGCAAAAACTAAGAGTTCATCACCAGTAGACCAGCCTTACAAGAAATATTAAAGGGAGTTCTTTAAGCTGAAACAAAAGGATGCTAATTAATAACATGAAAATATATGAAAGCATAAAACTCACAGTAAAGGTAAATATACACTTAAATTCAAAATGGTCTAAAATTTTAATGGTACTGGTAAATCACTTAGAACCATAGTATAGAGGTTAAAGACAAAGTATTAAAAGGACTTTTTTATTATAACTACATAACTTGTTAATGGATCCACAACATAAAAAGATGTAAATTGTGTTATCAAAAACATTGCAGCATAAAATATATATGCATAGGGGATATAAAAATGTAGAATTTTTGTATGCGTTACTAATTCACTTGTTATCAGCTATAAGATATTTTTTCTTTTTTGAAAAGAATTATTATCAGCTATAAGATATTTTAACTATAAGGTATTTGGTTATTATACTGCTGATGTGCTCAGTCGTGGCTGACTCTTTGTAATCGCATGGACTGTAGCCCTCCAGCTTCCTCTGTCCATGGAATTTTCCAGGCAAGAATACTGGAGTGGGTTGCTATTTCCTTCTCCTTTAGTTATTATAACTATAAGATATTTTACATAAGCCTCACAATAACCACAGTGTAAAACCCTATAGTAGACACAAGAAAGGAATCAAAAGATACCACTATATAAAATGAGAAAATCACAAAGAAAGAGAAGAAAAACCAAAAAACTTTGAAACAGCCAGAAAAGAGTTAACAAGATAGAAAAAAGTAAGTCTATAACTTGCAATAATTACAACTATGTAAATGAACTAAATTTTCCAATCAAAAGACAGAATGGTTGAATGAAAATTTTTAAAAAGATTCAAGTATATGCTACCTACAGGAGCCTCATTTCACCTTTAAAGACATACTGAGACCAAAAGTGAAAGATTAGAAGAAGATTTTTCATTGAAAAGGAAAGCCAAGAGAAACCAGGTGTACCTATATTTGTATCAGTCAAAATAGACTTTAAGCCAAAACCTGAAACAAGGCACAAAGCTCATTCAGTTCAGTTCAGTTCAGTCTCTAATTTGTGTCCAACTCTTTGCGACCCCATGGACTGCAGTACGCCAGGCCTCCCCCTGGAGTCCACTCAAATTCATGTCCATTGAGTCAGTGATGCCATCCAACCATCTCATACTCTGTCATCCCCTTCTCCTCTCACCTTCAATCTTTCCCAGCATCAGGGTCTTTTCAGATGAGTCAGTTCTTCACATCAGGTGACCAAAGTATTGGAGTTTCAGCTTCAACATCAGTCGTTCCAATGAATATTCAGGACTGATCTCCTTTAGGATGGACTGGTTAGATCTCCTTGCAGTCCAAGGGACTCTCAAGAGTCTTCTCCAACACCACAGTTCTAAAGCATCAATTTTTCGGCACTCAGCTTTCTTTATAGTCCACTCTCACATCCATACATGACTACTGGAAAAACCATAGCCTTGACTAGACGGACCTTTGTTGACAAAGTAATGTCTCTGCTTTTTAATATGCTGTCTAGGTTGGTCATAACTTTCCTTCCAAGGAGTAAGCGTCTTTTAATTTCATGGCTGCAATCACTATCCGCGGTGATTTTGGAGCCAAAAAATAAATAAATAAAGTCTGTCACTGTTTCCACTGTCTCCCCATCTATTCACCATGAAGTGATGGGACCAGATGCCATGATCTTAATTTTCTTAATGTTAAGCTTTAAGCCAACGTTTTCACTCTCCTCTTTCACTTTCCTCAAGAGGCTCTTTAGTTCTTCTTCACTTTCTGCCATAAGGGTGGTGTCATCTGCATATCTGAGACTATTGATATTTCTCCTGGCAATCTTGATTCCAGCTTTTGCTTTATCCAGCCCAGTGTTTCTCATGATGTACTCTGCGTATAAGTTAAATAAGCAGGGTGACAATAAACAGCCTTGATGTACTTCTTTCCCTATTTGGAACCAGTCTATTGTTCCATGTCCAGTTTTAACTGTTGCTTCCTGACCTGCATACAGGTTTCTCAAGAGGCGGGTCAGGTGGTCTGGTATTCCCATCTCTTTAAGAATTTTCCACAGTTTGTTGTAATACAAAGTTCATTACACAATTAAAACAGGGTATGTTTACCAAGAATAGATAGAAATTATAAATATTTATGCACCTAACATTGGGGCACCTGAATATATAAAGTAGATAT